ATTCGGGTTTTCGGGTTGGGTTGGGGTGGTCTGGCAGGTAGTCAGTCACGAGTCAGCAGCTCGCTCGTGGGGGTGCCGCTCCCGCAGGCGCGGCCGCCGTTCGCTCTGGCCAGCGACGCCCGCAGGCTCGCCCAGTAGTGGTCACTGAGTACCCGCACTGGTGGTAGATTCCCCGAGCGCCTGACATTGATGAGCTATTTCTCCTCCTCCTCCTCCTCCTCCTCCTCCTCCGGTTCCCCTTCCTCCTACTCCTCTGCCGTTGCGCTCCGTCTCAATCCCCATCGAGCCCTCTCCGTCCACTTCTCTTATTGGTAACTCCTCCCTGTCGCACCTCCAGGCTTGTCGGTAGGGAACGCCGGGCGTCTCGCATGAAGCTCCCCCACCGTTTATGATTTTGAAGTTTGACACTGGCAGCAGCTACGAAGATGGAGCACAGGTCGTTTTCAAAATGGGGCTTTCGCTTTCACGCCGCGCGCATCGTTTCAATAGTTGATACACTGCAACTGGTACAATAATGAAGCCATGTCGTGATTATCATGAAGCTCTCGCGATAGGGCCGCGCGCAGGCAAGCTTGCAACAGCTGAAAGTCTGGACCAGGATCGTTCTCAAATTCTGGTTCTTGCCCCAGTTCCACACATTGTTTTTAGTCTACAGCAGCTTCAAAGATGGAGGGCGGTTCCTTCTGGCAATGAAGCTCTGCTTTGTCGCCGCGCGCACACTCGTCGTACAAGCTTGCAGGAGCTACATGGATGGAGGACTGCTCGTCGTCATAGTGGGACTTTCATTTGAGATTTCCTTCACCCAAAAGACCAGAAGCCTCAACGTATGTGACAGCTGCTCGGATGGAGGACGGCTCCTTCTTCAATATGTGCCTCTCACTTTTTCGAGCTCCTCGAAGTTCATGGACAAATGTCGACGATTGCACAACAGTGACGCGGATGGGGGGCGGCCGTGTTCGGGACGGGGATATCGTTGGATCTTTCCTTGAGCCGCCTGGCCGTGCTTGTCGCAGTCCCGAGCGCGCGCGAGGGAGGCGCAGTAGGCCCTTTTCGCAAGGGAGCGCTCGCCCGAACGGCCGGTCCACAGGGTGTGCTGGTCTTGCGGGGGGGGGGGCGGCCCGTGCCCTTCAAGAAAGAGGAGTGCTTTGGACGTGCGAGGAGAGTGTATTGCCAACGAGACCAACGATGACGATACCGTTGACGGCAACAAGGATAACAACAATGATAACGATCACAATGATAACAACCATGAGGATCGCAACGATCACAACGATCATAACGACCACAACGATTACAACGATCATAACGTTATCGTTGTCGTTGTCGTTGTGATCGTGATCGTTGTCGTTGCGATCGTTATCGCTGCTCTTGTTGTCATCGCTGGTGCATCATGCGTGTTCGCTCTGGTTGTCTCCTTGGCAAAACCCTCCTCGATCTGCCTTGCTCTCCAGGGGGGGAGATGGGATGAGGAGCAGGACGGAGGGGCCGGGGAATGGTTGGGCAGGAGGGAAGGAGGGCGAAAGGGCACAGAGCTCTCGACCCCATCCCTGCGGCCGGCCTCTCGCCGCGACTGGCTTCCGCAATCGGCCCCCAGGCCCCGCAAGTGAAAGGGGGCGCGTTTGCCCTGATGCCCCACCACGTCTGGAGGCCTGCTCCCCGATCCACCGCAGGCCGTCTGCAGCAGATGCGAGCAGAGAGGCAAATGCTGCGACACGAGACCTTGGGGCACACTCCCATGTCTCCCGCGATCCGATGGTTTGAGCCCTGGCTGTGTCTCCTCGGTCATGGGCCCGTCATCGGGCCTTGGGACCGTCACATATGCATCCAGGACGAAGCTACCCCCTGGGAAGGGGTCGGGACTTTTGGGGCCGCGCATTGAAAACCGCATCGTCGGATGTTTGGGTGCCAGGCCGGCTCTCCTTCTCGATCATGCCCCTCTTCGAGCCTCCCTGGGGGGAGAGGCCGTTCAGCCGATTGCGTGACGGGTGGTGATGGGGCGGGGCGGGATGGTCGAGGGCTCGACCCGAGCGCTCGTCCCCGAAGGGTACCCGCCAGGGCTGCGCGCCCAAATGGCGGATCTCCCTGGTGGGGCAGCGCGGCCTATGCTCGCAGCCTGCACTGTTGCGAAGGCGACGCTGAGAGGCCGCAGTCGCGGCAAGCTTGTTGCAGGCCACGGTTCCTGAAGCGGACCCCGAGGGACTCGATCCCCTCCTCTTTGATCACTTCCATGTTATTCCTTGATCATCCTCCTCTTCGTCGATCATCCTCCCCGATCCTCCTTGATCATCCTCCTCCTCCTCGGTCGTCCTCCTCCTACTCCTACTCGATCCCCTCGCTTCGACAGCGACCCCGACCACAACAACGACGACGACGGCGGCGGCGACGACTGCGCCGGCCCCGTTCCAGAGGCTACAACTTTCGACGTTCCTCCTTGGTCCACCTTGTCCTCCTCATCCTCCTCCTAGACTGCCCTTCTCTCTCCCGATCTCCCCTTTCGACGACCCCGAGGACGACGACGACAACGACGCCGACGACGACGACGACGAGGACGACGACCACGACAACGACGACGACAACGACGATGAAGATGGCGGTGGCGGCGGCGGCGGCGGCTGGGCCGAGGGCGACGACGACGGCGACGACGACGACGAAGTCGGCGACGATGACGACGACGGCGACGGCGACGGCGACGACGATGGCGGCGGCGGCGGCGGCGACGACGACGACGACGGCGGCGGCGGCGCCACCGACGACGACGACGGCAACGACGACGACGGCGACGAGGACAGCGACGGCGACGGCGACAGCGGCTGTGACGGCAACAGCGACAGCGACGGCGACGATGACGACGACGACGGCGACGACGACGGCGGCAACGTCGACGACGGCGACGTCGACGACGAGGAGGGCGGCGGCGGCGGCGGCTGGGCCGACGACGACGACGACGGCGACGACGACGGCGACGATGACGACGACGGCGACGGCGACGGCGACGACGATGGCGGCGGCGGCGGCGGCGACGACGTCGACGACGGCGGCGGCGGCGACGACGACGACGGCAACGACGACGACGGCGACGAGGACAGCGACGGCGACTAGGACAGCGACGGCGACGACGACAGCGACTGTGACGGCAACAGCGACAGCGACGGCGACGACGACGACGACGACGACGACGACGACGACGGCGACGACGACGACGACGACAACAACGTCGACGACGACGGCGACGTCGACGACGAGGAGGGCGGCGGCGACGACGGCGACGAAGTCGGCGACGATGACGACGACGGCGACTGCGACGGCGACGACGATGGTGGCGGCGTCGGCGGCGACGACGACGACGACGGCGGCGGCGGTGGCGGCGACGATTACGACGGCAACGACGACGACGACGACGACGACGACGACGGCGACGGCGACGGCGACGGTGACGGCAACAGCGACAGCGACGGCGATGATGACGGCCACGACGACGACGACGACGACGACGACGACGGCAACGTTGACGACTGCGACGTCGACGACGACGGCGACGACGTCGACGACGGCGGCGGCGGCGGCGACGACGACGACGGCAGCGACGACGACGGCGACCAGGACAGCGACGGCGACGGCGACGGCGACAGCGATGGTGACGGCAACGGCGGCAGCGACGGAGACGAAGACGATTGCGACGACGACGACGGCGGCGACGACGACGACGGCGACGACGACGACTACGGCGACGACGGCGACGGCGACGGTGACGGTGACGGCAACGGCGCAACAACGACAACGACGACGGCGACGACGACGACGACGACGACGATGACGACGACGACGACGACGGGTGCGGCGGCGACGGCGACGTCAAAGGCGATTGCGGCGACGGGGGCGCAACACTGAGGTGACGACTGCTCCTGCCCCTCCCCATTCGCCTGCAGAGTCGCCCGGAGGCTCGTCTCTGCAGGTCTCCAGAGGCCCCAAGAGCTACAGTAGGTCCATCGAATATGAAAGTGGCTCAATACCCGATGGCCCGAGGGACCCACAGAAGCTCTGGCACAATTTAAGGTCCTCAAAGATCGACGAAGGATGTGCCATAAGTTTTTTTGATTTCAAGATCGACGAAGGATGTGCCATATCATGTGTCCACTGTACACGGAGGCGTCCAGAGATCTCTGGAGTCCTGCAGGCCCGATCGGGACCGCGAGCGTCCACAAATTTTGACCATCGATCCTTCGAATGCCGACCACGACCACGACCACGACCACAACGGCGAAGACGGCGGCGGCAGCGGCGACGACGATGACGACGACGAGGCCGCTGCCTGCCCCAGGCGGCGTCGGCCGCCCCGCCGCCGCCGCCTGGCGCTGCGTTCGCAGCGCCGGCAGGCACGGAGCCCCCGTCGTCGTCGTCGTCGTCGTCGTCGTCGTCGTCGTCGTCGTCGTCGTCGTCGTCGTCGTGGTCGTGGCCGCCGCCGCCACCGCCGCCGCCACCGCCACCGCCGCCGCCATCGTCGTCGTCGTCGTCGTCGTCGTCGTCGTCGTCGCCGTCGTCATCGTGGTCGTCGTTTCGGAGGTTTCCAGGCGTTTCCGGAGGTTCTCGTCGCCACGGCTGGGCGCGGCTCGAAGACTTCTGCGGGCACGCCGACCCACAGTGCCGGGCCTGCGCTCCCGCGCCCCCGCTTTGCGATGGGGAGGCCAGGCGCCGCCAGACAAGAGCCGACTGGAATGTTCCAGGGGCCTTGTCTGGCAGGAGGGAGGGCCGCCCCAGCACAGGCGCGAAGCAGACAGGCTGGACAAAGGCGCGCTTCGGGCCCAGCTTGCGGCGACCCGCGCGTGCTGCACCTCCTCGGTCGCCCAGCGTTGAGCAGTGGCAGCGCGCAGCCCTGCAAGCCCGCTTCGCGGCGCCTGCCAAGCAACCGCGACTGCGGCTGCCAGCTGACCAACGGACCGCGGACGGGCGAGCTCGCCGCGACGTCAGACTGTCGCGGTGCCCCGCGAAGCGCCCACGGAGAGGCGGAGAAAGAACAACCGCTTGCTGCGAAGCAGCGTCAGGCCGCGAGAAGCACAATAGACGCGCCGAGGTCGAGAGCACACAGCGAAGCACAAAACCAAGCGAGGCCAGGAAGCAAAGAGTCGTAGAGGCCAAGAAGTCAAAGTAGACCTACCCTGGAGATGTCCCTGCCTCCCGAACCTCTGCGTGACTTAGGGGCGCGGTGATAAGACTGCCAGGATGGACCCGGGGAGAGTTGCGGAGATTGATTGCGAAGGCCTTATGGCTGGTGCCGCCGACCCTGGAGGCCTCGGCCCTCGACGGAAATGGGAGGGAGAGGGCGGGCCGGGAGGGTGGTATCGGTCAACCCGGGACCACCCTTGGGACCCCTTCGGGACGCCCCCCCCGAGACCACCCCCCCATGCCGCGAGGAAATGATCAAAGGGAAGGGGCTTCCCTTCGACTCAATGACAACGTTGCTTGATTTCGCTGTGGATGGGCTGGTGTATTTCGCTTTGGCTGGCGTGCTTGAAGACGAGGGCCCAAGGAACGGGGGGGTGCGGCGACGGACTCAGGGGAAGGAGGGGACGTGATGGCGGCGGCGACGCGACGGCGGCAGCGACGGCAATGACGAAGGAACAGCCCCTGTCACACGCCAGCAGAGCCGGCGGATTTTGAGTGGGTGTTGGTTGTCCGTGTCGTCTTCGTCGTCGACGATCCTTGGACGTGGACGAACGTCAGGGATTGAGGACCTTGCGGCCTCTGGAGGCCGTCGGCAGGGACCTCAACGACGACGCCGACGACTGCAACGACGACGAAGACGACTTGGAGGAGTGGGGCGGGGGCGGCTGCGGGCGCAGGAGCAGGAGCAGGAAGGGGCGGCGAGCCGCCGCGCTCGATCGTGCGTGCTCGAAGGAGGGCCCGCGACTGCGGTCCAAGCGACCCGAGCCCTCCCGTCGCGCACGACCTGCAGCAGGCACGCGGCGTGCGAGACTGGCTCGCCAGCAGGTGCCCCACGGAAGTGTCTTAGCCCGGAGCACAGAAGCCTCCTCCTCCTCCTCCTCCTCCTCCTCCTCCTCCTCCTCCTCCTCCTCCGCCCTCCTCCCTCCTCCTCCTCCTCCTCCTCCTCCTCCTCCTCCTCCTCCTCCTCCTCCGCCCTCCTCCTCCTCCTCCTCCTCCTCCTCCTCCTCCTCCTCCGCCCTCTCCTCCTCCGCCCTCCTCCTCCTTCTCCTCCTCTTCCTCCTCAAAGATCGCCGAAGAATGTGCCCCCATGATACGGTCGGGAACGTCTTGGATACCGTGTCGCTCCGCCGCTTCCGGCCCACCGCACCTCGGCGCGACACGCTGTCCACTCCCCAGGCCGCAGCCGTCAACGCCTCGAGCTGCTCCCGGCCTCCCAGCCCACGCAGCTGAGCAGCACGCCGTCCGCTTGCAAAGCATATCGTGTTGCTGGGGCCGCCCCGGTGACACGCTACGCAAACGCTCCCGAGCGCACAACTTACAGCAAGATTGGTTTACCGCACGTTTTCACTATGTGAGGCGAGCACATTGCAGCTAGTGCCGGGGAGGAACCTCGGAGGCGCCCGCTTCCCCTTCTCGGCCTCGTCCTCCTCCCTTTCCCTTAATTACTTATCCCTCCCTCCTTATCCACATCATGCTCCTCCTCCTCATCCTCCTCCGCCTCCTCCTCCTCCTCCTCCTCCTCCTCATCATCATCATCATCAGCATCATCATCATCATCATCATCATCATCATCATCATCATCATCATCATCATCATCATCATCATCATCATCATCATCATCATCATCATCATCATCATCATCATCATCATCATCATCATCATCATCATCATCATCATCATCATCATCATCATCATCATCATCATCATCATCATCATCATCATCATCATCATCATCATCATCATCATCATCATCATCATCATCATCATCATCATCATCATCATCATCATCATCATCATCATCATCATCATCATCATCATCATCATCATCATCATCATCCTCATCATCATCATCATCATCATCATCATCATCATCATCATCTTCCGTAACCATTTTGGTTCAAGTTGCCCCTGGACCAGCAGATCCTGGATAAGGTGCGTGCTCAGGTGGATGAGGCTTCTCGGAGGTTCCAAGCTCAGATCGACACCCGTGCCGACCACGGCGGCCGCTTCGAGACTGCCGAGAGCGACAACCGCGACGTGGGCGCCTCCTTTGTTGTCGTCATGTTGCATGGTGCATGAAGGGATCGGCTCGGTTCGGCCCGACTTCCCGACTTCCCGACTCTGGCCGACTCCCCGATTCCCCGACACCCGGGCTCCCCGACTCCCCGACTCTCCGGCTCCCCGACTCCCCGACTCCCCGACTCTCCGACGCCTCGGCTCCCCGACTCCCCGACTGGCCGATTGGCCGAATGCCCGTCTCCCGACTCTTCGACTCCCCGACTGGCCGACTTCCTGATTCCCCGACTCCCCGACTCCCCGACTGGCCGACTCCCCGTCTCCCCGATTCCCTGAATCCCTGACTCCTCGACTCCCCGACTCCCCGACTCCCCGACTGGCTGACTGGCCGACTGGCCGACTCCCCGACTGGCCGACTCTCCGACTCCCCGACTGACTCCCCGACTGGCCGACTCCCCGACTCCTCGACTGGCCGACTCCCCGACTGGCCGATTGGTCGAATGCCCGTCTCCCGACTCTTCGACTCCCCGACTGGCCGACTTCCTGATTCCCCGACTCCCCGACTCCCCGACTGGCCGACTCCCCGACTCCCCGATTCCCTGAATCCCTGACTCCCGACTCCCGACTCCCCGACTCCCCGACTCCCCGACTCCGACTGGCCGACTCCCCGACTGGCCGACTCTCCGACTGGCCGACTCCCCGACTCCCCGACTGACTCCCCGACTGGCCGACTCCCCGACTCCTCGACTGGCCGACTCCCCGACTGGCCGATTGGCCGAATGCCCGTCTCCCGACTCTTCGACTCCCCGACTGGCCGACTTCCTGATTCCCCGACTCCCCGACTCCCCGACTGGCCGACTCCCCGACTCCCCGATTCCCTGAATCCCTGACTCCTCGACTCCCCGACTCCCCGACTCCCCGACTGGCTGACTGGCCGACTGGCCGACTCCCCGACTGGCCGACTCTCCGACTGGCCGACTCCCCGACTCCCCGACTGACTCCCCGACTGGCCGACTCCCCGACTCCTCGACTGGCCGACTCCCCGACTCCAGGCCTGGCCGACTCCCCGACTCCCCGACTGGCCAGCTGCCGACTGTCCATTTCCCCGACTGCCCGACTTCCCGACTTCCCGACTCTGGCCGACTCCCCGATTGGCCGACTCCCCAACTCCCCGACTGGCCGACTCCCCGACTTTCCGATTCTCCCACCTCCCGATGGACAGTCGGAAAGTACATTCTGGCATTTCAAAAATTGTTCTATTCCTTTCGGGAGGTTTCTCGGAAGCTTTGTAGGACATTCGGGGCATCTTGGGCCGTCGGGTGGCAATATTTGAAGTCTTGGATTCATCATTCGGCGACAGGGTGTTCTCTTGGACCGTTTTGTGGGCAGTCTGAGGCATTGTTGGCCTGTTTTGGCGCCCTCTATGCCCCCATGAGGCGTTCGTCCCAGGCCAAGGCGGGGGGTCACATTGCCGGTTTGGGGTCCTGGAGGGCAGGGTTTTTTGGGGGGAGGGGGGGGGCAACATTCTCACACGCCTAGAGACCCACACAAGGTCGGCGGACATGGTGGCTAAAACTTGTCATAATAATCAGCGCTGGATATTCCATGTTTTGTCTATGTAGCGGAGTCATTCAGCGGAGCCCCCTTTCGGGGTCTTTGTGGGCGTTGATGTTCAACCTTGTGGTCAGACTGCGTTATGAGGCCGTCGAGAATCCGCCCCAAGGAGGCATCCCAGGAGATGCAGGCGGGTGCGCCGATGATGTTGGCACGGTCCTCCCTCGGCTTCGCTCGCTTGGTTCTGTCATGCCTCACTTCAAGCAGATCCGCAAGCATGCCCTGCTCAGGCTGCAGGAAAGCAAGCGCTGCATAGTGCCACTTTGGGCTGAATGCACAATAGTTCTGGCTGCTCGCATCCGCTCTTGGCTTGACGCCCATCTCCCAGCGTGCAAGTAAAGTGATATCCCAGGGGCAATTCCATACGTTGGCGTGCTGTTCGGCCCCGCCGCCGATCTCGAACACCAGTGGTCCCAGGCCAATGCGACACCGTGGCAGCGTAGCATTGAACTCCCTTCCTCCCGTGCTTCGCCTCAGCTTCTTCCAGATCGGTATAACATGTACAGTCGGGGCCCTGAAGAAGGAACCCTTTTCGTTCGGGAGGGGCTCCGTGTTCCTTAGTTGTTTTACAGTGGTCCTCGGGTTTTTCCTGAGGTTTTCCATGGGCAATCGAAGGTTAATTCTAGACGCTTCGCGTATCCCCACCAGCCCGTCCAGAAACGACGCCCAGGCGAGTAGAGGGTCGTCCTGAGGGGCTTTTCGGCGTCTTGGGTGCCTCGGGGGGGCCTCTGTGGGCCGTTCGGGATCCTCTTTGGGGCCTCCTGGGGGCCTCTTGGGGCCTCTTGGGGCCATCTTGGGGCCTTTGGGGGCCTCCTGGGCGCTTCTTGGGGCCTCCTGGGCGCTTCTTGGGTGCCTCTGGGGGGTCTCTTGGGGCCTCTTGGGGGTCTCTTGGGGGCCTCCTGGGGGCCTCTTGGGGGGCCTCGGAGCCATCTTGGAGGAGATCGATCAACGAAGGGGGGTTCCCTAATTAGCCCCGCCCCTCTAGAGTGCCTCGAGTCGCCTCTTGGGCCCCCCCCCAAGAAGCCAAAACCCGTCCAAAACCTACAGAAAATCATTGTTTTTTGCTTTCTCGCCTTTTCGCTCTTGGAGCCGTCTTGGGCCATATTGGATTCTCTTGGGGCCTCTTGGGAGTCTCTTGGGAGCCTCTTGGAGGCATCTTGGGCGCCTCTTGGGGCCCTCTTGGGGCGCTCTTGGGGCGCTCTTGGGGCGCTCTTGGGAGCCTTCGGGGCGCTCTTGGGGCCATGTTGGGAATATATATCAAAGAAGGGGGGAGCCTCAATTAGCCTCGCCCCTCTAGAGTGCCTCGGATCGCCTCTTGGGCCCCCCCAAGAGGCCAAAATCCTTCCAAAACCTAAGGAAAATCAATGTTTTGTGCTTTCTCGCCTTTTCGCTCTTGGAGCAGTCTTGGGCCATCTTGGGCGTCCCAACGCGTCGCGGAACGCCCCGTCCAGGTCAGTGGGGAGGGGTAAGGGGAGGGGTAAACCCCTCCCCGAAGGGAAAGAAGGGGGGTTGGCAGAGGAAACGCTCTAGACCACCTACGCCCTAAAGGGCTGGTGGGACTTATGGAAAAAAGGGGCCTCGTTCCTTATTTAGGGTTCCTTGGGTCAACGCCCCGACTGTACGCTCTTAGCACCCCAGGTTGCCTGGCCCAGTCGCCACATGCCTGCGGCACGCCCGCGCTCTCCGCCCCACGGTGGGCCCATGTTACGAGTGGTCTGCGCCGTGCTGGAGCCGTCCCAGTGCAGTCGTCCACTTGCTTCGCTCCTTCTCGGTCTCCACTCCCTCCGTCGTCCGTCGTCGTCGCAACGGGCCGCTCCGCTTCTCTGATTCCCGTTCGCTCAGGGCGTGGGGGGGGGCTACAGTCGGGGCCTCGAAGAAGGAACCCTTTTCGTTGGGGAGGGGCTCCGCGTTCCTTAAGTGTTTCACAGCTTGCCTCAGGTGTTCCTTATGTTTTCGATCGGAAATGGAAGTTTAACTTATGGAGAAAAGTGGCCACGTTCCTTATTTAGGGATCCTTAGGTCAACGCCCCGACTGTACGAAGGCGACGGGCAGGGCCGAGTTGCAGACGGCCGCTGAAGAGGGACGCCAGCCGAGGCTACAGCGCGTGATCGGTTCCTCGGTGTCGGCTGCGCTGTATCCCGACCGATTTCACCAGACTATCGGACGCCGCCTCGATGGTTGGTCGTTCCTTCGCCCCCCCCCCCAATCTAGCGGAACGGTGGTCCCTACTGAGAGCATGTCTCTGGCAAGTGCGGCCGAGCTGGAGATAGGCTGTTCTGAAATCGCTCCCAGGAGGCTGGACCACCACTGCAGAATGCACGTCTCGCCGCATGCCCGAGATTGCTTTTTAGGGTCCGTGGGCCAAGAAGAAATCTCGCACTACCTTCAGTGAATGCCGCTCCTGCATCACGTCGCCCTCAGTTGGCCGCGGCTCGTCTTTCCTGTGGATCCGTTGCTCTGGCTTGGTTTGGGGAGTCCCGCGGAGTACGGCACCAAGGATTGCGAAATCCTTCGCCTCCAGGTTGTTGAGGCCATGGCATTCGCTTTCCACTTGCACCACACATCGAAAGATATAGCGCATCTCTCTCTGTCTCTCCCTCTCTCTATATATATATATATGTATATATATATATATTTCTTCACAACGCACATACGCATCCGCCACGCGGGTCACAGGTGCAGCACGGCTTGCGCTCCGGGCGTAGGTGGCGCCAGGACTCGCCCTCAGTCTACGTCGACGTATCATCCTTCCCCTTCTCCTCCTCGTTTCAGGATGCGTATTTGGCGTTTCGGATGTTTCCGACGCCGTTGGAGGCCTGTGAAGCACTCCAGGACCTCTAGGGACCTGATGCCCCTCCATCCTCAACATCTCCAACCTCACCTGCCGTCGTCATGTTTGTTCCAGCTCAAGTTCCAGGGTCCCGTTAGTCCCTACCTGGCAGAGAGCCCGCGTGTGCGCGATGGCCCACATGCCAGGGGATTGGTTCGAGAGGCATTTCGGCTTCGAAGAGGACGGGGAAGCGAGCGTCAAGGACCACACATATGTTGAAAATGGCATACTTTACTCGCGCAAAAATGGTCGTAAGTACGCCGTCGGGGAGTTCACCACCCCAAGTTTGGAGGAGCTCAGGAGCGAAGTCAGGGACAGGCTCCAGGACACAGCTGCTGTGGACGAAGCGAAGCTGAAGGGGACCACGGGCGTCAGGAATGTAATCGGGGACGTCGCCGATTACCACTGCAAGGAGGAAAATCGGTACGCTGTGTTTCAAGTGGCCTCCCAGTTGAATTGCTTGGAATTCATAAGCTCAGACGTGACGCCTGAGATGGGCATCACACGCTACATCCGTGACAGGACGCAGGGCCCTTGCTGCGCGATAGCTTGCGCGGCGGGCACGCTTTACAGGAACTACCCAGCTGCCTGTGGCAAACCCCGCAACCCATCCTCGTGCGGCATCGGAACGTATTCAGGATGTCTCTACCGAGCTGTCCCGAAAGGGCTTGGTAGAACCACCGTGGGGCAGTCTGGGAAGAAGCGCTACGATGCCGTGGCCAGGCGTGGCCGTAACGTTGCATTGTTGCTGCAGTGTCCTTTTCTGGGTTTTTGGAGGTTTCTTGGGAGTGCTTCGGAAGGCCCTCTGAGGTGCCTTTTGGTGGCCTTTTTTTCTTGGGCCGTCATGACGGTGTAGTTGGTTGTCGTAGGGCCTTTTGGGGCCGACTTGGTCGCTTTTTGTCAAATGGCGTTCTGGATTGCTTTGGGCGATGTTCAGCCGGGAAATTGCAAAACCACTGTTTGCATGTCAGCCATGTTTTTTAATGTTTTGCAATTGTTTTTGTAGGCGATCCCGACCAGGGAGTTGTTGCGAATTGATGTGAAGGCCTTGTGCATGTTTGTACGGGCGTTCCGTCATGTGTATTTTGCAGTGTGGCGTTTTCTCGTGTACTGTGTGTATGCACTTTGCGTTGACTATGCATGTCCTTGATGTGTACATGTGTAATGTGTGCGTCGTAGTTGCTCGTTACGTGTGAACGTGTTGTTTGTTTGTTTCTTTGTATTATTCCGATGCGTGCGGCTTGCAAGTTGTTGGCGCATGTTGTTGATGTCATCGCAAATGATCTGGGTGGGTGAGTGTGTGATCGGCGCTGTCCTGTGAATGCCATGTGTACATGATGGCGTATGTACGTAGTGAATGTCCTTGGCGTGCGCTGTTGGTGCACACGCTGAGCGCATGGTTGGGGCAGACGTGTGTCTCCTGTGTTCGGGCGTGTTGTATTGGGATGTGTGATGGGTGGCTGATCTAGGTGTCTGGCACTGGAGGCTGCTAGTGATGCATGCTGTTGCATATTCCTGGTATTCGATGTTTGTGTATGTGGAGCGCATGACGCCTTGACGCATGCCACGTCTACTGAGCCGCGGAAGGTTTCCGCCGCATCGACATGTGGGGCCCAGCGAGACGGGATGCGCGGGAGAGCCGACACTACCGGGGCCTGCTGGCTTCGGTGTGCAGGACTCACGGGCAGGGCAGGATATCCGGGAGACTCGGGCCTGCTGGGGCCTGGCGGCCGCGGTGTGCGAGGCCGGCGGGCGGGCTGTACTTTCACATTCCCTAAACAGTAGTTGCAGTTACGGGTTCTTACTTGTGCTGTAGAAAAAAATGGGCTCGTTTGTTGGTCTGGCGGCTCTGTTGCCACCGTCGCCGCCCCGTTCGTCGCCGCCCGTTTAGGCCTGTCTGCTGGTCTGGCGGCTGTGATGCCGCCGTCGTCGACCCGCCGCCGCCTCGTCGCCGCCCGTCGTCTGGGTTTTTGCTGACGGTCTGGCGGTTATGTTGCCGCCGACGCCGCCCCGTCGCCGCCTCGTCGCCGCCTCGTCGCCGCCCGTCGTCTGGGCCTGCCTGCCGTTCTGGTGGCTATGTTGCCGCCGTCGCCGCCCGTAGATTGCACCACATGTATGTATGTATGTATGTATGTATGTATGTATGTATGTATATACATACATACATGTACAATTACAGATACATGTACATATACACATATACGTATACATTTACATATAAGCATATAAACATATGAACATATAAACATGTAAACATATATATATATATATATATATATATATGCCGGCGGAAGAGGATCGGGGCCGCCAGGAGTGTGCTTGCGCCCTCCATGGGGGTTCCGGGGTTCACTTTCCTTGTGTTTTTACAGGGATTCGGCGGTCCGGGGCCTCCGAGGCGCCAGCGGCGACCCCAGACCTCTTGTTGACCTTCGGACGGAAGCCCAAAACCAGCCCCAGAGCGCTCCAAGACGGCTCACGACGCCTCCTACACCGCACCAAGACGGCCCCAGAGAGCTCCAAGCGGCCCCCACGACGGCCCAAGAGGGCCCCAAGACGGCACAAGAGGCACAGATAACGGTCCAAAGGAGTTCCGACACGGACCCCGAGAGGTGAAAAAAGAAGCTCACAGAGGCCCTCAACATGCCCAGGCCGCCCAAGAGGCCAAAAAAGGCCCCGAGGTAGACCAAAACATACCCCAAGAGGTTTGAAAAACTGCGTCTCACCCTGCTTCTCGTCCGCCTTATAACCTTCCTGCTCCTCTTTCTTCTGGTTGTCGAGCTCTCTCCCGGTATCAGGAAATATAAATAGATTCCCGGAACTGCCAGGAACCGCATTCCTCGAGAATTGTTTTTTGTTCTTCGCCACCCTGCTCCATCGTCATTCCCTGATCCTCCGCCTGCTGCGGCTGCTCTTCATGCTACTCCCGCACCTCCCCCTTCCCCCTCCTCCCGCCCCCCTCCTCCTCCTTCTCACCCCCCTGCTTCTGGAGCTCTCGCCCGGTCTCTCGAAATATGTTCCCGGAACGCCTGCCAGGAACATAAGTTCTTTGCTTGCGTTCGAGTTTTTCTTCTGTTCTTCGCCACCCTGCCCCTTCGTCTTTCTTCCCATGTCCTCCCCCTGCTGCGGCTGCTCTTCATGCTACTCCTGCACCTCCCCCTGTCCTTCTTCTACCTCCTCGTGCTCCCCCTGAACCTCCCTTCCTCCCGCTCCCCTTCTTCTCCTCCTCACCCTCCTTCCCTTCCGCCTACTCCTCATGTCCTGCTCGTCCTGCTCCTCCTCCTCTTCCTGCCGCTCACCTTGTCCTGCGTGTCTGTCCTCCTCGTCCTTCTCATCCTCCTGCCCCCCCCTCCTCTTCCTCCTCCTCCTCCTCCTCCTCCTTCTCGAGATTCCTCCTCCTGCTCTAGCCCTCCTCCTCGTTCCTGTCCTCCTCCTCCTCTTCCTTCTCGGACCCCTCCCCCTGCTGTCACGAAATATGTTCTCGGGAAGCTTCCCGGGGATATAATTCCGCGTGCCTCCCTTTCTCCACCTCACCGATATTATCCTCTTTCTCGTTCCCCTCCTTTTCTTTCTCGCCCCCCCCCCTCCTCCTGTCGCGCAAGATGTTCCCAGGAAGACTCCTGGGAACATAAGTCCTATCCCCCTGCTCAAGCGCCTGATCCCTCCTTGGCGGCCTTTCCCCCTCCTCCTCCTTCCTCTGATCCTCCTCCTCCTCCTCTGGCTGCTCTTCCTCCGATTCCTGTTCCTCTCCCTCTTCTTCCTCCGCCCCCTCCTGCTCCCCCTCGACTTCCCCCCCTCTCCCCCTTGCTTCTGCCGCGCGCCCCTCCTCGTCGCTCCGAGGGTCGTGGGGCCGAGGGGTCTCGGAAGCCGATGGGTCGTGGGGCCGCGATTGAGGATCTTCGACCCTAGAGGTCAGGGGCGCCCTGGGGCCGAAGGATTCGGAGGACTCCTGGGGCCGACTTCAAGGGTCGCGGGGCCTACGGTCCCCAGGGGTATCCGGACCGGGAAGGGCGCCCGGATCGGGAGGTGCCCGGACCAGGGAAGAGGGGGAGGAGGAGGAAGGGCAGAGGATATTGAGGAGGGGGAGGGGGAGGAGGGGGAGGAAAAGGAGGAGAGGGAAGAGGAGGAGGAGAAGAACGCGTAGGAGGAGCAGAAGCAAATGAGGGAGGAGGAGGCGGTGGAGGAGAAGGAAGGGAACTGAGGAAACGGAGGACAGAGACAGGCGAGGAGGAGGAGGAGGAAGAGGACGAAGGAGGAGGCAGACGAGAAGAAGGAGAAGGAGAAGGAGGAGGAGGAGGAGGAGGAGGAGAAGGACGGACAGATTCCTATAATTATACATCCTGTAAGGAAAACCCCCCCCCGGATGGCCCACACCCCCCCCCCAGATACCTTTTCCCCCGGTCCAACCCAGCCTTTCGAACCCCGGATGGCCATCGCCGCCACTCTTCCCTGACACGCCCAGACGCCCAGACGGCTCCCGATACCTTTTTCGCCGCTCCTTCTTAGTCGCCGACTCCTTGCCAAAACACCCCAAACGGCTCAGGACGCCCCCCCGACGGCTTGAATACGGTGTACGACGGCTCTGACTGACGAGTCCCAGCCACCCTTCGGACGGCCATCCCCGTGCCCCCCGATACATGGTTCGACGCTTTTCCCGGGTTCCCGAGCCTCTGCCCACACAACCCAGACGGCCCCTACATTGCTCAACGCTTCTCCCTGGCCACTACACTCCAAAAAAAGGCTTCGACCAAATCCACGCGACGCCCCAAAGAGCGACCACGCCTTCAAGGCTCCACGAAGGTCACACAAGGCCCCCAGCCAACTGCACAGGGCGCCAGAAAGGCGTCCAAAAGGTTTGCCTTTAGGCCTCCACCTTCCAGACAACACCCTCCCCACGACGCTGCTGCCTCCTCCTTCTCCTCCTTCTCCTCCGCTTCCTCCTCCTCCTCTTTTCCTCCTCGTCCTCCTCTTTTCCTCCTCCTCCTCCTATCTTCCTCCTCCTCCTCCACCTTCTCCTCCTTCTCCTCCTTCTCCTCGTCCTCCTCCTGCTCCCGTTCCTCCTCCTCCTCCATTTCCTCCTCCTCCTACACCGCCTTCTCCTGCTCCACCCTTTTCCACCTCCTGCTCCTTCTCCTCCCCCTCTTTCTCCTCCTCCTCCTCCTCCTCCTCCTCCTTCTCCTCCTCCTCCTCCTCCTCCTCCTCCTCCTCCTCCTCCTCCCTCTCCCCCTCCACCTTCTCCTCCTCTTCTCCTGCTCCTCGTCCTCCTTTCCTCCTCCTCCTCCTCCTCCTCCTCCTCCTCCTCCTGCTGCAACTGCTCGTGCTCCTGCTCCTCCTCTTCGTCCTCCTCGACTCGTTCCTCCTCCTCCTCCTCCTCCACTTCCTCCTCCTCCTTCATCCTTTTCCCCCTTCTCCTCCCTCTCCTCCTCCTTCTCCCCCTCCTCCTCCTCCTACTTCTCCTCCTCTTCTCCTCTTTCTCCTCCCCCTCCTCCACCTCCTTTACCACCTCCTCCTCCTCCTCCTCCTCCTCCTCCTGTTCTTCCTCCTCCTCCTCCTCCTCCTCCTCCTCCTGCTCCTCCTCCTCACAAGCGTCCCAAACGGCCGCGCAGACATCACCTGCTCCTCTTCCTCCTCCTCCTCCGCCTCCTCCCTTTGCCTCATCCTCCTTCTTTTCCCTCCTCTCTTCGTCCTCCTCCCCCTCTTTCTCCTCCTCCTCCTTTTCCTGCTCCTGCTCGTCCTCCTCTTTCTCCTCCTCCTCCTCCTCTTCTTTTTCCTCCTCCTCCTCCTCCTCCTCACATGTGTCCCAAACGGCTACACTGACGTCTGCAGGACGCTCAGCCTATCACGCTCGCATACCACGAAATCAGCTTGCCTGAGTAAACGCATCCCCCCACAGGCTTCCTATCCCGCTCATCCTGACTCATCCTGCACCTGCTCCTGCTTACCCTCCTCTCCATGGCCATTCATGCTCGAGCCTTCCAGCAGCCTGCACCGCCTTCTCGGCCACGTTCGCTGCTGTGAGATGGTCCGGCCTGGATGTGCGTTCCAAGGCTGTTCGTGCTCCCAGCTTTCCACAGTCAACGCCCTGCTCGACTTTCGCACGAGTCCCTCGTGCAGCTTTCTGTTGAACGACAACCTCAAAACTCATGGAACCACGGGCAAACCCGTGCAACCCGTATTCTGCTCCTCGGAATGCTTTGAGGCGGCCTGTGGCATAAGCGGCCTGTCCCAAGTTGACGACGCCATGCTCGCTCTCTTCCGAGCGACGTGGCTTGAACGAGATCGGCGACACCGTGCGCGGCTCCTCCTCGATCCCACGATAGTTTCAGACTCTCTCGAGGTCGTTCCCGCCGAGGGGCCCGTCTCGCTCAAAGCGGCGGTTGCTTCTATCATGGCCGATACTTTCTTCTGTGCCACGTCCCGGGAGCTGGACAAGGTTACCCTGGAGATCCGCCGGATTGTCTCTGCAGCCAAAAGTTGGCCTGAGTATCTTTGGCTCGTGTACATCGGCCGCAAGACGTACTCTTTAGACGCCGTGTGCGCCCTGCTGGAAGGCCCTCACAGACTCAAGTACGATCGTGGCTACACCATCGACCCAGACGCCTTGGACCACCTGCTCGACAACACTAGCCTCGGTGACGGCATCCTCCACGGTGAGAGCAAGATCGAGCTCCGCATGCGCATCATCGCCGTCCGGGACCTCCTGCACTCTCTGCCGCGAGGGTTCCTCGACGGGGCTCCCGACGACCTGGCACAGACTGCGCGCGTACTCCTGAAGACCTCCGAGAAGAAGCCCGGCACCCCCGTCACATTCAGTATGACGGAGACCGCGGCCCGCCAGTGGCCAAGCATGACTACGACCGACCGTCTCTGGCATTTCTTCATGTCCATCGGCGGGACGAGCCACTTCCACGCCTGGCAGATGTGTCTCGACTGTCCTGACGTGATTTGCGACGCCTCTCAGATGCGAGCCGTGGGTCCCAGTTGCTACTCCTACCTCCGCCTCGCCTACCCGGCCGTGGAATTCCCTGCAACATGGAGCTCTGCCCAGGGCCAGGACCTCGGCGTTCGCCTGATCGACCACCTCCGTACGCGCCCGGAACTCCAGGGCCTCGAGTTCCCAGGCCCCACGCTCAGCTTCAACAACACCGAGCACTGGACGTGCGAATCCGTGAAGGCGACCAAGGCCTTGCACAACGACGGCCTCCTGATCCGCGTGGGCGAGATACGGCACGTCTTGCAGGGAGGCGCTCTGGCGGTGCCGGCCAGCGGCAAATTTCGAACGCGCCGGTTCCGCACCGGCTTGGCCGCGCCAGACCCCTCCTCCATGAGCGGCAGTTTGATGTACGCGCCACGGACCACCAGCCACGCGCCGCTGATGAAGAAGAGCGTCGTGGGGGAGCCGCCTGCGAAGCGCCAGGCCTCCCTGCTGGCTTTCGGCGCGGTGCGCCGATCAGCCCGCGACCCCTGATGTCCTTCGACGGCGCGCCGTGCAACGACAGCGCGCATCCTCAGGCATAACATTGACTCCGCGGCCCGCGCATGTTTAGTTGGGCCAGCCCGGCGCCCTGGATCTTGCCGGGCTGCCGCGGCCACATATGCCCTGCTGCCACGCCGCTCCTCTCCCTTCCCTCTCCCATCCTTTCCTCCCTCCTCTCTGCATCGTCTGCTCCCGTTCTTCTACCTTCCCAACCCTTCTGTCGCAGACATGGCGCGCTGACTCGCCCTGGCGCCGCCGGCACTTTTGCCTCCCAGCCACGCCGTTCGCGCCTCCTCCCGCTCTCCAGTTTCTCCTCCTTCCTCTCTGAGTCGTCTGCTCCCGTGTTTCCTCTTGCCCTCCCCCATTTCACATCGCTCTGCAATTCCCTACTACCCACTTCTTTTTCGCACGCTTCTTCTATCCGATACTGCATCACGCCGTTTCCACACGTGCTGTCGCGCTCTGTGCGCCGAACTTCTCTGTTCTTCCCCCGCGGCACACGTCCGCGCTGGCACCCGTGTTTGTTCCACGCGTGCGAACAAGATTCCTGACCACCTGGCAAAATATCCTGCCCTTTTGACATAACAGCGGTTGCAGCGACGGCCGCGCTCGCTTACAGCAAATCGTCACACACTTCGTGCTCCACGTTTCCACAAATCCCATGCCCGAGCAACTTTTTCGATGCCCCGACACTACTGTAGGCCACTTCGTCCTCTTCGAGCTCCCAGAACCCCATTCCCGAACCACATTTGGGATGCCCCGAGCCACCTGTAGGCCACTTCGTGCTCTTCGAGCTCCCAGAACACCATTCCAAAACCACATTTTTGGTTTCCCGGAGCCACCTGTAGGCGACTTCGTGCTCTTCGAGTTCCTACAACACCACTCCCGGACCACATCTGGGATACCTGGAGCCAACTGTAGGCCACTTCGTGCTCTAAGAGCTCCCAGAACACGATTCCCAGACCACATTTTAGATACCCAGAGCCACCTGTAGGCCACTCTGTGCTCCGCGAGCTCCCAGAACTCCACTCCCGAGCCACATTTTGGATGCCCACGAGTCGCATCTTCTGTCATTTTCTGTAATGCTTGAGTCCCAAGGCCCACAATCACGTTTCCGACGAGTCGCATCTTCTGTCATTTTCTGGAATGCTTGAGCCCCCCCCCCCCCCGAGAAAATGACCGCGACCCCTCTCATGGTCAGGACGTGCTTGCTGCTGTACCTCAGTCACCCACTCTTCGGTTGTTCCTGGGCGCAGGACCAAGATTGAGGCGAAGCGAAGCGAGCCCTCAAATCTTGTATATGTATATATACACATAAGAAAAGGGCTGCCTTGATACTCCTGCCAGGGCCTTGCCGCGATCTCGGCTAGAACCAAAGCGCGCTCGAAGCGCGCGCGATGGTTCTAGTATATATTATATATAATATATATATATATATATATATACAATATGTGAAAGCGCGCACGGCGACGGCAAAGCAAAAAGGGGGGCCCCAGCTTCAAGCCCCCCCCCCGCCCTCGCCATAGGGGGGGGGCTTCGAAGCTACCGCCTGCGAGCGCATGGGAACGCGCGACTGCGAGCGCCTGGGAGGGCTTGGGCGCCCCCGCAGCAGCGATTGCATTTATCGAAGCAGCCGCCTTCGACGCGAACTTCGCGCGGCTGGGTGGGGGGGCGAGGGGGGGGCCCCTCGTTGCGATGCGCGGGCATGGCTGCGGCAGCACCTGCACGGCGGGGACAAGTGGGGAGCGCTCGTGAGCGCCAGGGAGCGCCTGGGAGTTCCTGGGAGCGCCTGGGGGCGCCTGGGAGCGCCAGGGGGCGTCAGGGAGCGCCTGGGGCCGCTTGGGAGCGCCTGGGAGCGCCGGCGAGCGCCTGGGAGCGTTTCGCGCGATGCGCTCTGTGCAGGCACACGAGCTCGCCTTGCCGAGCTGCTCGTCGTGGCCTTCGGTTTTGAACTGCGCCGCGGGGCTGCCGCAGGCGTAGAAGTCCACGGGGGTTGACGGCGATGCGCACGGCAGTCGCATTCGCTTTCGGCGTTCGGCTTCGCCGTTGGTGTCGCCCCAGCTGAAGCGATTGCACTCATCGACGCAACCGCCTTCGGCGCGAACTTCGCACGGTTGGAGGGGGAGCGCGAGGGGGCGGGTTTGGCACCCCCTCGCTACGATGCGCGGGCAAGGCTGCGGCAGCACCTGCATGGCGGGGGAGCGCTTGGGAGCGCCAAGGAGCTCTCGCGAGCGCCAGGGAGCGCGTGGGAGGAGCGCTGGAGAGCGCTTGGGAGCACGAGGGACCGCTTGGGGTCGCCTGGGAGCGCCTGGGAGGGCCGGGAGACGCCTGAGAGCGCTTCGCATCGCTTGGGAGCGCTGGGGGGTGCCTGGCGGTGCCTGGGAGCGCCTGGGAGCCCTTGGAACGCCTCGGGAGCACCTGGGAGCGCCTGGGAATGCTGCTTGGGAGCGCCGAGGAACGCTTGGGAGCGCCCGGGAGCGCCTGGAGCGCGTGGGATGCTGTGGGAACGTTCGGAAGAACGCCTGAGGGCGCCGCATGCGGTGTTCTCATCAGGTTTGCAGCTCCAAGGACGGCCGAAAAGGCGCCGCATGTTGTAGTTCCATAGGTTTGGAGCCGCAGGGGGCGGAACCAATCGTAGCGCACCCACTCGCTGCGGTCGAAGTTTTGGGTGCGTTCCATTCGTCGAACCAGCGGAGCTGCGCGCGCGCGGCAAGCGACAGCGCTGCGCGCTTCGTCGGCGCGGTGCACGTTGCACGGGCAGGCTCGCTGAGCGCTCGGCCAGGCACCGCGGGCTACGGGCGCCGCGCAGCCCGCGGCTTGCAGTTTCGGGTTTAGGTTTTATGGTAGATTGTCCACTAGCCCAAACTTGAAGCTTGTTGGACCCGGCCCACCCACCCATGACCCAAAACATATTGATTCCAAAACGACGACGACGACGGCATCAATGACAAAGACGACGATATTGATTTCAAAACGACGACGACGACGACGACGACGACGACGACGACGACTACACAGTCGCGCAAAGACTTCTGGGAAGTCGCTGCAACAGCGACGCGGCCCGCGCGCGCGACGACGCGATTTGAAGAGCAACGCACATCGACGCGAGTCCCTGTGCGTCGCAGGGACGCCGCCCAGCGGCGGTGAGACTGCACGGAGTGGTTGCGCAGGGGTCGTTGCAACGGCGACGCGGCCCGCGCGCGCGCCGACGCGATTTGAAGACAGCGCGCATGGACGCGAGTCCCTGTGCGCGGCAGGGGCGCCGCCCAGCGGCGGTGAGATTGCATGGAGCGGCTGCGCAGGGCGCGCAGGATAGTTCGTTGCCTCGAGGAGAGGGAACCGCATGTACATCCTCGGGGCTGCGGCGCGGCGCGCGAAGGGCGACGCGCAGCGCCCGCGCGACGCGACGCCGCGAGCCCCCCGCAGCCCCTTGTCGACGCCTCGGCGATGCATAGACCAGGTTGACACGAAGTGCGCGGGGCGGTTCGTTGCTCGGCGAAAAAGACCCCATGTTTGCATCCTTGGCGCCGCGAGGCGACGCGCGAAGGCCGACGCATGGGCGATGCGACCCGCGCGCGCGCGAAGAGACACAAAGGGTAGACCCCACCACCACCACCCCAACTGAACAACAACTTGCCGATGCCTCAGCGATGCGCGGCCTAGCTCGGTGCGAGGCGCGCGGGGTAGTTCGTTGCTTCCACGAGGTCCCCCCCCTAGCATCCCTGGGACTGTAGCGCAGCGCGCGAAGGCCGATGCAACGGCGATGCGACGCGCGCGCGCGCGAAGCGACGAAACGGGTAGATCCTCGCGGCAGGCTGCCGGCGCGTTGGCGATGCGTCGCCCAGCTCGGTGCGTCCGCCAGGGGGTCGCGCTTCGCGACGTCCGCCGAGTGTGGTTGGAGTGTCTTGGCGCCCCGACCGACCTCGCTCGCCAGCGCGCCACCTGCCGCGCTCCTCGACCCCTGCCATGGACGCGCCGGGGCCCCTCGGCCCCCCCGCCCGCGCCGCGCCCGGCGCCGCCGGTCAGACGCGCGCCTTCGAGCCCCCAGAGAGGGGGGGGCGCCGCGAGAAGGTGCGCCGATCGGACCACGCCTCCTTTGCCCTTCTGGACCACGAGGGAGAGTCCGTCGTCGACACGGCGCGGCGGCGTGGAAAAAAGGAGGGGTCGCGCGCGCGAGAATTGGCGCCCCCCCCTGGGGCGCGGGAGCGATCGCGCGTGAGCGCCCTGCTGTTCCACGCGGTGCGTCGCGCCAGTGGCCTGCGTCAGCCGCCGCGCCAGGGCCCCCGCGCGCCGTCGCGCGCGACCCCCTTTTCTCCGCGTCGGCCAGGTGCCTCTGGACAAGCTGCGGGGGGCCGCGGCCCAGGGCCCCCACTGGGCGAAATCCCACATTAACTTGTCAAGTGGTTCGGAATGTCGCGTCGGGGTCGGGATCAGCCAGACGGCGGGGGCCCGGGCGGAGGCGGTCCGGAAGATCCGGGACGACCCCCACATCAAGGCCGCAGTTCAAAAGAAACTCATGGAGAAGGCCCTGCCCGATGCCAACGCGTTGCTGCCGCACGTGGACAGACTGAACCGCGGCCGCGGCCCAGAAGCTTCGACGAGGCGCAGCTGCGCCTTCCTCCAGGAGCTTCTCGGCGAGAGGCTCCCGGGGGAGGGGGCTTCTGGGCGGCCGCGGTCGCCCCGCCGCGCTGGCTCCGCGGCGCTTGAACGCGCCGCGGAGCGACCGCGCGACGGGGCGGCAATAGCCGCTGGGAAACCCAGGGGGCCATGTCCAGCCTCCACGGGGCGGCCCCTGGGGAAGGGCACGGGGGCGGCTCTCAACCCGAAAGGGTCGAGGTCGCGCCCGCACCTTTTCGCGAAGGACAGTAACGACGCCATGCCCGGCGACAGGCGCGCGCCCAGGAGGCGGCAAAACTTCCCAGAACGCCATTCCTGGCCCTCCGAGGCCACGGACCTGCGCGAGGGGCGCGCCGTGGGATTGGCCGATCCTCTCAGAGCGCCATTCCTGGAGATCCGAGGCCGCGGATCTGCGCGACGGTCTCGCCGTGGAATTTGCAGATCCGCCCGGAACGCCATTCCTGGCAATCCGAGGCCAAGGATCTGCGTGATGGGGGCGCCCTTCGATTTGCAAAAGCTCCCAGAACGCCATTCCTGGGACTTCGGGGCCACGGATCTGCGCGAGGGATGCGCCCTGCGATTTGCAAAAGCTCCCAGGACACCATTCCTGGCACTCCGAGGGCACGGATCTGCGCGAGGGGCGTGCCCAAATGGAGGGGGCGCGGAAGGATTTTAATTGTTATAGGTTCTTAGTTCTTAGGGTCCACCAGCCTCTATTTGAAGCCCGCTGGAAGCACCCCACCCACCCATGACCAATCATGTGCAGATATCGACGCGTCGATGACGTCAGCGCGAGGCGTCATGTGCAGTACTTGCGCAGCGCCTCATACCGACGCAGCGGCGATGCGGAATGGGATCGAAGGGGCCACTGGGTAGCCCCCCACAGCAGGTTGCCGACGCATTAGCGATGCGCTCCGCAGCTTCGCGCGTTGCTGGGGGGGGGCATGAGGCGCGGCGCCCGCCCTGGGCGGGCTGCTCGCGCAACCCCGGCAATGCCTTGCTCCCTGGTTTACGCCGCCATGACTCGCAAGCACCAGGCGGCTTTCGGGGCAGCCGACTCAGCTGGCGGCGCGCCCGCGGAGAACGCGCGCGTCGCGGAGGCGGCGCGGGGCGGCGCAGCGGCGCGCGACCTAATCAAGGATTCGGGCCGCATGCATGGGGGGCCGCATTGCCTGCCGGGGATTCTGGTTGCACGGGCACAAAACACGTTCAAAACCCGGGAAAGTGGGAGTGCGGAAGGGTGACATAAGGGGTGTCCGCAGGCGATCTCAAAGCTTAAATCTTGATAGGGTATTCGTTATTAGGGCCTCGTTGGCGGAAGCAGCTCGGCCCCCCCTCCCAACTTGGCCGGGGTGGTCGGCTGCTCTTCGCCCCTGTTCCCACCCTCCACACAGAAGTGCACATTTAGGGTTTAGTGATGTTATACCCCCCATCGCTTTCCCCTTCCCATGGGGGGGTCCATGCTGGCGGCTGCGTCCTCCGGGCATTCACCACCGGCCCACCAACCCCTCTTCGCCCCCTCTTTGCACGGACGGAGGCCCCTGCAGGCAGCTATATCAGGCATGCTCGCGGGGCAATGCCGCGTCCATAGCCGACGCGCAGCAGCCACATTTGTTTCGTTGCACGCGCATGGCTGAAGCCCGCGATTTGCTGTGCCAGCGCGGGCAGGTATAAGATTTGCGCGTTGCCTTGCCTGCGCGCGCAGGTTCAAGGTTCGCACGTTGCCCTGCCTACGGGCGCAGGTTTAAGGCTCGTGCGTTGCCTTGCCTACGCGCGCAGGTTTAAGGTGCGTGCGTCGCCTTGCCTGCGCGCGCAGGTTTAAGGCGCGCGCGTCGCCTTGCGTCGCCTTGCCTTCGACTGCAGGCTTGAGGTTCGCGCGTTGCCTGGCCTGCGCGCGCGGGTTCAGGGTTGCGCGGGATGCGCGCGGCGGCTTGCTTGCGCGCGCAGCTCTAAGGCGTCTGCTTCGCCTTGCCTTCGCGCCCAGGTTTCAGGTTCGCGCGCGGCCCCGCCCGCGCGCGCGGGCGCGACTGGGCGCGCCCGGGCGTGGACCAAGCGTTCCCAAGCGCTCCCAGCGCCCCCAGTTGTCCCAGGCGCTCCAAGCCCCCAGCGCCCCCCTTGCGCTTCCGAGCGTTCCCGAGGGCCCCCGGGCGTTCCCAGGCGCCCCCTAGCGCGCCCAAGCGCCACCGTGTGCGCCCAAGCGCTCCCGGGCGCTTCCAAGTGCCCCCAAGCGCTCCCAGGCGCCCCCAAGGCGTTTCCCAGGCGGCTCTGGCGCCGCCCCCCAGCAATCCCAGGCGCCCCCCGGCGCTCCCAAGAGCTCCCACGCGCATCCAAGCGCCCCCTGGCGCCCCCAGGCGCCACCAGGTTTTCTCACATGCTTTCCGGAGCCCCAGAGCGTTCCCCGGCGCTGCTATGCGCTCCCAGGCGCCCCCACGCGTTCCAGGCGCCCCCAGGCGCTCCACCGCGCCCCCACCCGCTCCCAGGCGCCAGGCGCTCCCAAGCGCTCCCAGGCGTTCCCCAGGTTCGCGCGCGCCCCCAGGCGCCCCCAAGCATCCCCAGGAGCCCCGAAGAACTCCCATGCTGTTTTGATTAAGTTCGGGACCCTCGCGTTAGCAGTCCTCGCGAAACCTTGAGGTTTTGATGGATTACGGCATGCGCGCGCGACGACAGCGCGCGCGTGCTCGTCGCCCAGCGATTTGCGAGGGGTTCGCGCGGCAGCGCGCGCGCATGGGCGCTCGAACGATCTTACCACGCACGCGCGAGAGGCCCGCTTGGTAGCACGGTATGAAATTGGAAAATCAGTACTGCCTCAAAAAAATCGCAAAAGCGCGGGCGCAACATTATGTCCGGAAGCCCTTGCACTGTGTTTATGTGTTATCGTGATTCTCGTTTGCGAAACCGTTGCGGAACTTAGGTTTGTTTGTCGATGGGGTGCCGGAACGCGCGCGCGAGGACGCGCGCGTGTGTATTTCGTTCGGTTGGTCGCAAGGGGTTCTTGCAAATTTCTGTCTTAGGGTCAACGAAAGCGCGCTTACATATAGCTGTGTGTATGTATATGTTTGTAAACATACATATAAGCATACATATGTTTTATAGATAGATCTCCCAGAGGTGGATGTAGGATCGATGCCGGCTTGCCTGGGAGTGCGAGCTCAAATGTTGGATAGACATGAGGCAGAATTTCATGTAAATGGCAATACGATATGGTGCACCGTTGACCCCGGGGTGGGTGGGGGTAGATCTTACCTTTTCGATGGAGGAGAATGAATGTCTGTTCGCAGTCAGTTCTCCACTCCGCTGCTCGCGCGCGCAGCGGCCAGATAGTTTGACGCTGCCGACGCGGCCGCGGCGGCGCTGGCCGCTCGGCAAGTCCCAGCGGGCACGTCAGTGCAAGTCGGCGACTTGGGCGGGCGCGGTAGCATTGCAGCGTCGACAACGGTAGTCGCGACGATGATGGTAGCGATGCTGACGACGATGGCAACAACGACGACGGCACGGACAGCGACGGCGCCGATGCTGACCACGCCGACGATGATGACGGCGCCGTCGCGTCGGTGCAGGTTTTTGAAGGAATTCGACACGCGCGCGCGGCCAGCGCGCGAGAATGGTCTGCATGGTATCATTCGACTCGGATCGTGAACCCCCCCCCCCAGCACGCGCGCAAGGGCGTTAGAATGATGTCGACATGCCACGCCATGGGTCCGTTTGCCCAAATTGTATGAACATGCCAAACAAAACGGGAACGGGTTGCGTTAAGAATTCGTTTGGGTGCGAGCGCCGGGTTTTTTTTTACAAACGAAAAATGTTGCAAAACCATGTGCGTTTATATGTTTTCGGGACACTCGATTTTGAACCCCCTACGAAGCCGAAGATTCTTGAATGATTGTCGCATGCGCGCGCGACGGTTCGCTCCCGTACACTTCGATTCATGTGTTGCAAGCGGTTCTTGCGACAGCACGCGCGCAAGGGCGTTCGAGCCATTCCGGCACGCGGGCGCGACAGGCCCGCGCGGTTGCAAGTTGTGAGAATGTTGGAGGAAAGAAAATCTTATGGAGCGCAATTTCTTTTTTTTGCAAAATCTGGTTCCGAAGCCATGTATGTATTGCGTGTTTCGGGGCACTCGAATTTGAAATCCTTCAGAAATTTGTAAAGTTCCCAACCAACCTTTGTTGTTGGGTTTTCGTTTTGACGAGACGGTCCCCGCGTCTCCTCCTCCTTCCTCTTCCCGTGCCCGCCCCGCCCCCAGTGGGGTGTGCCACATGCGTCCGCCACACCCAGCACGGCGCCTCGTGGCCCCAAAGGGAGGTCCACCGACGGCCCCGGTGGTGTGTACCACATGCGTCTCCCCCACCCAGTACAGCGTTTCGTCCGCCCCAATTGGGGTGCACCGCATGCGTCCGCCACACCCAGCACGGCGCTGCGTGGCCCCAGTGAGGCCCACCTAAGGCCCCAGTGGTGTGTACCACATGCGTCTCCCCCACCCAGCACAGCGTTTCGTGGCCCCATAAGGGGTTCGGCAGAAGGTCCCCGTGGCGCAGTCCGCATGCGTCTCCCTCACCCAGCATTGCGCTTCGTGGCCCCATTTGGAGCCCCACCGAAAGTCCCCGTGGCGCAGTCCGCATGCGTCTCCCCCACCACCCAGTACAGCGCTTCGTGGCCCCATACGGGCTCCGCCGAAGGTCCCCTTGGCGCAGTCCGCATGCGTGTCCCTCACCCAGTACAAGTTTCGGGGCCCCATAGGGAGCCCCACCGAAGGTCTCCGCGGCGCAGTCCGCATGCGTCTCCCCCACCCATTACAGCGCTTCGTGGCCACATATGGAGCCCCACCGAAGGTCCACGTGGTGCAGTCCGCATGCGTTTCCCCCACCCACTACAGCGCTTCGTGGCCCCATATGATCTCCGCCGAAGGTCCCCGTTGTTGCAGTCCGCATGCGCCCCCCCTACCGAGTACATCGCTTCGTGGCCCCATAGGGGTTCGGCAGAAGGTCCCCGTGGCGCAGTCCGCATGCGTCTCCCCCACCACCCAGTACAGCGCTTCGTGGCCCCATATGGAGCCCCACCGAAGGTCCCCGTGGCGCAGTCCGCACGCGTTTCCCTCACCCAGAACAGCGCTTCGTGACCACATACGGGTTCCGCCGAAGGTCCCCTTGGCGCAGTCCGCATGCGTCTCCCTCACCCAGTACAGCGTCTCGCGGCCCCATATGGAGCCCCACCGAAGGTGGCCGCGGCGCAGTTTGCATGCGTCTCCCCCGCCCAGCACAGCGTTTCGTGGCCCCATAATGGAGCCTCACCGAAGGTCACCGCGGCGCAGTCCGCATGCGTCCCCCCCCACCAACCCAGTACAGCGTTTCGTGGCCACATTGGGGCTCCGCCGAAGGACCCCGTGGCGCAGTCCGCATGCGTCTCCTTCACCCAGCACAGCGTTTCGTGGCCCCATATGGGGCCCCACCGAAGGCCACCGCGGCGCAGTCCGCATGCGTTTCCCTCACTTAGTACAGCGTTTCGTGGCCCCATATGGAGCCCCAAAGGTCCCCGTGGCGCAGTCCGCATGCGTCTCCCCCACCCAGTACAACGCTTCGTGGCCCCACAGGAGCTCCGCCGAAAGTCCCAGTGGCACAGTCCGCACGCGTCCCCGCCATTCATTTCGGCACACCCCTCACACGTTTCGTGGCCCCATAGGGGCCCCGCCGAAGGTCCCAGAGGCACAGTCCGCATGCGTCCCCGCCATTCATTTCGATTTCGGCAGACCCCTCACACGCTTCGTGGCCCCATAGGAGCTCCGCCGAAGGTCCCAGTGGCACAGTCCGCATGCGTCCCCGCCATTTATTTCGGCACACCCCTCACACGCTTCGTGGCCCCATAGGAGCTCCGCCGAAGGTCCCAGTGGCACAGTCCGCATGCGTCACCGCCACTCATTCCGGCCCAACCCTCACACGCTTCGTGGCCCCATAGGGAGTCCCGCCGAAGGTCCCAGTGGCACAGTCCGCATGCGTCACCGCCACTCATTTCGGCCCACCCCTCACACGTTTCGTGGCCCCCTAGGGGCTCCGCCGAAGGTCCCAGTGGCACAGTCAGCATGCGCCCCCGCCACTCATTTCGGCCCACCCTCACACGTTTCGTGGCCCCATAGGGGCTCCGCCGAAGGTCCCAGTGGCACAGTCCGCATGCGTCCCCGCCATTCATTTCGGCCCACCCCTCACACGTTTCGTGGCCCCATAGGAGCTCCGCCGAAGGTCCCAGCGGCACAGTCCGCATGCGCCCCCGCCACTCATTTCGGCCCACTCCTCACACGTTCCGTGGCCCCACAAGAGCTCCGCCGAAGGTCCCAGTGGCACAGTCCGCATGCGTCCCCGCCATTCATTTCGGCACACCCTTCACACGCTTCGTGGCCCCATAGGGAGTCCCGCCGAAGGTCCCAGTGGCACAGTCCGCATGCGTCCCTGCCATTTATTTTGGCACACCCCTCACACGCTTCGTGGCCCCATAGGAGCTCCGCCGAAGGTCCCCGTGGCACAGTCCGCACGCGTCCCCGCCATTCATGTCGGCCCACCCTTCACACGTTTCGTGGCCCCATAGGAGCTCCGTCGAAGGTCCCAGTGGCACAGTCCGCATGCGTCCCCGCCATTCATGTCGGCTCACCCTTTACACGCTTCGTGGCCCCATAGGAAACTCCACCGAAGGTCCCCCTGGCGCAGTCCGCATGCGTTTCCCTCACCCAGTACAACGTTTCGTGACCACAAATGGAGCCCCACCGAAGGTCCCCGTGGCGCAGTCCGCATGCGTCCCCCTCACTCAGTACAGCGCTTCGTGGCCCCATAGGGAGCTCCACCGAAGGTCCCCGTGGCGCAGTCCGCATGCGGTTCCCCCTTCGAAAAAGTGTATCTCAATTGCGGTTTTCACACCTGCACATGGTTGGGTCCTTCGTCAGGCGAATTGTTGACCGATTTCGGCATGCGCGCGCGACGACGCGCGCGTGCGCACTTCGCCCCGCGTGCGCGCGCATAGTCTTAGTTGCAGAGGATGAAGGGGGGGGCGAACTCTGGCCCGGCTGGGATGATACGAATTCATAGTTAGGATGGAAGGATGGACGATGGGGCAGGATCATAAGCAAATCGCAATACGACAAAACAGCCTGTTAAGTGTGGGGGGGTAGATCCTCATATTACTTTTACAGGGTAGAATCTACCTGGCGCGATCGATGTTGTGCAACCTATGTGGTGCAGCCTACGTTGTGCAACCTATGCTGAACTGCATGTTCAGGGCAATCCGCCACTGTGCCCCCTGGCGCGCTGAGGCGTCGAAGGATGCCAAGGTCTGGCTGGTAAGGTTTTTGGGGTTCTAATGAGGGACCGTCCCCCCCGCTTCTCGCGGACTGTTGCGTGCATTCCCCCCTGTTCACCGAGGCCACTTCGTTCGTGCCCGCTCGAGGATGATGCACTTCAAGCGTGGCAGCTAATGCCCAAACCCCCATTCCACGCGTGCCCGCTCGAGGATGGTGCATTAGCGGGGTCGCCCTGGGGAACCTACGGGAAACCTTCAGATGGCGAACATGTATTCGCACACGCCCGAACCTGACGAGGGCGTGGTGGCGGACTACGTCCCCGTCACCGACAGAAACAATATCATCAGAAATGGGCAGACAGCCACTTGTCAGATCGAGTGCCTTCGAGACATAGCCGCCGAGCTCGAGAACAACAGGCACGGCTACCTGCGGGTGAAGGGTGGGTACACGCTGGCGACAAATCAGGGGCTCGCCGACTTGAATAAGAGGCTCATCGAAGGATTAGACGAGGAGGGGAAGGACCGGCTGCGCGGGAAGCTCCGGATCGGTGTGCAGCGCAACGTCGAGGTCACCAGCCGGTCGTGGGGAGGGCAGATGGTGAACGACCCTGACCAGCTGGTGACGCAGGTCTTCGGGTCTGCGTGTTCTGTGTCGTATTCGGGCAACCACGTGGACCTCTGGGAGCCCATGGCGAGGCTCGTCCTCGAGGCATCCTACGAGGCCACCCTGTGGGTGGCGGTCCTCTCCGCGCTGCGCAGCCCCGGCCGTGAGGCGTCTCGCTGTGTCTTCCTGACAGCTCTGGGAGGAGGTTCGTTCGGAAATCGCATGGAGTGGGTGCAGCACGCCATACTCGGGGAAACGTAAGACTCGAGTAAGCCGGAACCCTGGTTTGCCGTTTTTTAACGAGCGCGTCCTGGATTTTGACGGTTCCGTTTTCGTGGGATGTTTGCAGCGGGAGCCCACGTCAAATTTCAGATTGGGTCTCGTCATTTTTATGATGGCCCCCGTCAGGCCAACCCGAGTCCCCCGTACCCGAGTCTTACGTCTCCCCGACATACAGCGTGCCATTTATATTGTCTGCGGACAGAACAACCTGGCACTGCAGATAAATCTGGTGTCGTACCAGCAGCCCGTGGAGCGGGCCTTCGACAGTTTGGTGAGGGCGAACGGTTTGGAGCAGTGCGAGATTGGAGATGACGAAGACGACGAAGCCCCGAAATGTTCGCTCCTGTAGTGGGCGTTCATTCTTGAAGACGCCTCCAGCGAACCACCGCCGCCCCCCCGCATTTGGGAAACGTCTACGCGGCCAAACGGTGGGCCTAAATCTGGCCAAGCTACTGGACTACGTGTTCTCCCAGCCGTTGTGTAAGGCCCTGGGGGCTCATTTGGGAGAGGAAGAGAAAGGAGAAGGAGATGGAGGACAAGGAGGACGAGGAGGACGAGGAGGAGGAGGAGGAGGAGGAGGAAGAGGATGAAGCCTCTGGACTCCCGGGGGCTTCCTGGGGAGCCTATTGGGGGCCTCGGTGGGGCATCGTGGGGGCCACTCAGCGGCCTCTTGGGGGCCTGCTGGCGGTCTCGGGGGTCCTCTTGGGACGGAGGGCTCGACATGTAAGTTCGGGTTCCCCTTTTGGGCCCTTTTGCGCCGACCTGGAGGAACAATGGGTTGTCTTGGGATCCTCTTTGGAGCCTCTTGGGCCGATCTTGGGGGCCTCTTGGGTCGTCGTGGACCTCTGGGCCCGACAAAGCGAGAACGCCGAAATCGTGTTCACAAGCCAGTGGAAAATCATTGGTGCATGCCTCTTCGGGCCATCTGGAAGGTCCTCGTGGGGCCCGCTGGAGGCGCTTTGGGAGACACTTGAGCCGTCTTGAGGCCACTTGATAGCGTCCAAAACCCGGATAGCAAAGAGGCATACTTTGGAAAGCTTTCCTGAAGAGCTCTGGGGCGCTCTTCTGAAGCGCTTCTGAAGCGCTGCCAGGCACGCTTCCACGCGCGCCTGCACGCGTGCAGGCACGCGTGGACGCGTGCCAGAAGCGCTCCCGGACCCGCTGCGACCTTTTACAACTCGCTGCGGGGATCGTGGAGCGGCGAAGATGGGCTGCTGGCAGGCGCCACCACCGTCCGGCTTCTAACCTAAAACCCTATCGCTCTCAGAGAGCTCTCCGGGAATCTTGGGCCCCTCGGACCGTATTCGGGGCCTCTTGGGGACCTCGTGGCCCGTCTTGGGGCCGCCCGGCCTCCGGAAAACGCCTGCGCCGAGCTCCGAAAGGGCACGCGCCACGCCCCGTGGGCTGTGGGCCTGACCCCCTTGGTAAGAGAAGTGCGGAACGGATTCGAAAGAGGAGGGGAGGGGGGTAAGGTGGAGGAGGAGGAGGGGAAGTGGGTGGAGGAGGAGGAGGAGGAGGAGGGGAGGAGGAGGAGGAGAGGAGGGGGAGGAGTAGGAGGAGGAGGGGGGAGGAGGAGGAGGGGGGAGGAGGAGGAGGGAGGAGGAGGAGGAGGGGGAGGGAGGAGGAGGAGGAGGAGGAGGAGGAGGAGGAGGAGGAGGAGGTAGCGGCAGGTAGGAGGTGGGAGGAGGAAGGAGGAGAGAGGAGGTGGAGGAAGAGGTGGTGGATAGGCTGACGTTTGACGACTCGGCACGCCCAGGGCCTTCTCGGAAGGCGGCGGGGCTCCAGAGAAGGCTCGGAGAGCTTCTCGGAGAGCCGGCGGCCGTCTGAGCCTGCTGCGAAGGCCCGCCCCCTCTGCCGTACCGTCGGGGCCCACGCCAAGCAGCACCCCGCTGGCCTCCAGGGCGCCCTGGGTTCCTCGGAGTTCGACGCTTCGGCCATGGAGAGCGCGGCGTCCCCACCCCACCCAAGGAGCAAGGGACGTCCTGGGGTCTCGGGGGTCGGGTTTCTCGTGGGGGGGTTCTTGTGGACTGGCCTCCATGGGAAAAAACAGACAGTCTGTGGGAACAAAACACACAGTCTGTGTGTGTTTTTCACACAGTGTGTGTTTTGTGTGTGTGTGTTTCCCCCACAGTGTGTTTTTGTTCCCACAATGTGACTGTGTGTGTGTGTGTGTGTGTGTGTGTGTGTGTGTGTCTGTGTGTGTCTGTGTGTGTCTGTGTGGCTGTGTGTGGCTGTGTGTGGCTGTGTGTGGCTGTGTGTGGCTGTGTGTGGCTGTGTGTGGCTGTGTGTGGCTGTGTGTGTCTGTGTGTGTCTGTGTGTGTCTGTGTGTGTCTGTGTGTGTCCGTGTGTGTCCGTGTGTGTCTGTGTGTGTCTGTGTGTGTCTGTGTGTGTCCGTGTGTGTCCGTGTGTGTCCGTGTGTGTCCGTGTGTGTCCGTGTGTGTCCGTGTGTGTTCGTGTGTGTCCGTGTGTGTCCGTGTGTGTTCGTGTGTGTCCGTGTGTGTCCGTGTGTGTCCGTGTGTGTCCGTGTGTGTCCGTGTGTGTCCGTGTGTGTCCGTGTGTGTCCGTGTGTGTCTGTGTGTGTCTGTGTGTGTCTGTGTGTGTCTGTGTGTGTCTGTGTGTGTCTGTGTGTGTCTGTGTGTGTCTGTGTGTGTCTGTGTGTGTGTCTGTGTGTGTGTCTGTGTGTGTCCGTGTGTGTCCGTGTGTGTCCTGTGTGTCTCTGTGTGTCTGTGTGTGTCTGTGTGTGTCCGTGTGTGTCCGTGTGTGTCTCTGTGTGTCTTTGTGTGTCTCTGTGTGTCTCTGTGTGTCTCTGTGTGTCTCTGTGTGTCTCTGTGTGTCTCTGTGTGTCTCTGTGTGTCTCTGTGTGTCTCTGTGTGTCTCTGTGTGTCTCTGTGTGTCTCTGTGTGTCTCTGTGTGTCTCTGTGTGTCTCTGTGGGTCTCTGTGTGTCTCTGTGTGTCTCTGTGTGTCTCTGTGTGTCTCTGTGTGTCTCTGTGTGTCTCTGTGTGTCTCTGTGTGTCTCTGTGTGTCTCTTTGTGTCTCTGTGTGTCTCTGTGTGTCTCTGTGTGTCTCTGTGTGTCTCTGTGTGTCTCTGTGTGTCTCTGTGTGTCTCTGTGTGTCTCTGTGTGTCTCTGTGTGTCTCTGTGTGTCTCTGTGTTTCTCTGTGTGTCTCTGTGTGTCTCTGTGTGTCTCTGTGTGTCTCTGTGTGTCTCTGTGTGTCTCTCTGTGTCTCTGTGTGTCTCTGTGTGTCTCTGTGTGTCTCTGTGTGTCTCTGTGTGTCTCTGTGTGTCTCTGTGTGTCTCTGTGTGTCTCTGTGTGTCTCTGTGTGTCTCTGTGTGTCTCTGTGTGTCTCTGCGTGTCTCTGCGTGTCTCTGCGTGTCTCTGCGTGTCTCTGCGTGTCTCTGCGTGTCTCTGCGTGTCTCTGCGTGTCTCTGCGTGTCTCTGCGTGTCTCTGCGTGTCTCTGCGTGTCTCTGCGTGTCTCTGCGTGTCTCTGCGTGTCGCTGCGTGTCTCTGCGTGTCTCTGCGTGTCTCTGCGTGTCTCTGCGTGTCTCTGCGTGTCTCTGCGTGTCTCTGCGTGTCTCTGCGTGTCTCTGCGTGTCTCTGTGTGTCTCTGTGTGTCTCTGTGTGTCTCTGTGTGTCTCTGTGTGTCTCTGTGTGGGGAGGGACAAGAACGAGGACGAGGGGGCCGCGGACGAGCCAGGGGAAGAGAAAGGACGAGGCAGAGGAGGGAGAGGAGGAAGAGGAGGAAGAGGCAGAGGTAGAGGTAGTGGCAGAGGAGGCTGAAGAGGAGACGGGCCGAAGAGCACGAACGGGCGAGAGGGTGCGACACGCTGGCGTCCACCCGGCAACGCTCGAGAAGGCAGCGGCGGGCGCGGCGGTGCGCCGCGAGGACGCGACCGGGGACGGCGAGGAGGATAGAGAAGAGGAGGGCCGTGAGGAGCAGACCCACGAGGCGGGCCTCTATCTCAACCTTCGCGGAGGCCGTTCTGGCCATGCCAATGGAAGGCCGACCAAGAGTAGGGAGGAGGAGAGGCTTCGCATCGTCATGAACAACACTGGTGGGGCACCAGGGGCATGGCGATTGCTGGAGGAGGTCCGGCCGTACCAGCCGGTAGAAGAGGAGGAGGAGGAAGGGCAGGCAGGAGGCGCGTTGCATGCGGACGTGGTCCTGATCCAGGAGCTCCGCATGAGGGACGAGGACTGGCAGAGCTTCGCACGCGCTGCCAAAAGGAGGGGCTATGAGGCTTATCGCCAGGAGGGGCCTCGAGGACGCGGACGCTGGGGCGAGGAGACGGCTCTCGGAGGCGTGGCTACGCTGGTGGGCAAGACCATGCCCCACAGCCTGGTGACGGGCAAGACGGAGGGTCCAGCACAGGCACTGGTGGTGTGCGTGGGGGGGTGGCAGTGCCTCAACACGTACGGGCCGCCCACCGCTGCTGGGAGGAGGGCGCTCTTGGACACGGCCAACGCGGTGTTTGTGCAGTGCGGCGGGCGCAGGCTGCCGTGGTTCTGGGGCGGCGACTTCAACGATGAACCTGCCGAGTCTGCCTGTGAGGCGGTGGTCGTGCACAACGGCGGGGTGGTGTTGCCAGGGTGCGAAGACGGCACGCGGTGGCGTGGACGACGAAAGGTGGATTGGTTCGCCACCAATGCGCGGGAGTGCGTTGACGACATGCGAGCGCTGCCGCTGGTGACGTCAGATCACATGGTGCTGAGCACGGCCCTCCGGACACAGATCCGGGTGGACAGGCGCATCGGCAAGTTGCGGGTGACGCCCTCTTGGAAGAAACCAAAGGGGGTGGATGCCGACAGATGGAGGCAGGCTCTAGAGGCTTGGGCGGCCACGGCAGCGTCCGAGGCACGGATGAGACTCGAGACAACGCTCACGCTTGCAGAAACTAGGAGGAGGCTGGGGAGGACGGATCTTGTGGAGGAGGGGGTCCAGGTCGAGGAGGAATGGGGCGACTTCAACACGGCGCTGGGGGACATGATGCGCCGCGCCTTTCGGAAGCTTGCGGAGGAGGAGGCCGCAGCGGGCAGGGAGGACACGGCAGCAGACTGCCGGGAGGCCGCTGCCGCAACGGGCGGCAAAGGAGGATGCGGGGAGCACCGCTGGGAGCAGCTCCGAGGCTCTGGAGAGGAGAACCAGGACACTTTCCAGGTAAGAAAGGCGAGGAGGTGGCTCGCCAGGGCGAAGGAGGCTCTCAGGCAACGCGCCGCGGTCGGCGACGCCTGGGGCAGCACAGAGGAGCAGCGCCAGCTCTGGCGGAGGGTGCAGCGCGGGCCGGGCAAAGGAGCGGAGAGAGGCGGAGGCCACCGAGGAGGCCGACCAGGAGGAGGGCTTAGGAGGCAACGAGTGGCGGAGGCACAGGAGGCAGAGGAGGAAGCAGGCAGCCTGAGGGAGCTGGAGAACCGCATTCACAAGGCGGAGGCGGCCCTGCAGGCGGTCGAGGAGGCCCAGCGGCAGGACCGGCTTCAGGAATGGCGGGACCGCATGCGCGGCGGCATCCAGGAGGTGTCGGCGTGGCTCCGCGGCCAGAAGGAAATGGCGACGACGCCCACAATCACATGGCGAGGAACGCCAAGGGAGACTCTGGAAGAGGTTACAGAGGCGATTCGCCAGCACTGGCAGGAGGTGTGGGCACCGCAGGCCGCATCAGGAGCCGAGCAGCGGAGGCGTGAGGCGATCGACCTCATGGCGGCGGAGTATGAGAGGGACCCCCATGCGGTGGAGTGGCGCGACCCCACGCAGCAGGAGGTGCGGCGAGCGCTGGGGCAGGCAAAGGGCAGCTCCAGCGTCGACGGCTGGTCTGGGCCAGAGGTCCGCTACATGCCGGCTGCAGTGGCAGACCTGTTTCGGATGACTGCCATCCACTGGCAGACAGCAGGGAAGGTGCCAGAAGTGCTGAAGGAGACGCGGCAGGCGAACCTCCCGAAGCCGGGCAAGGTGCAGGCTGGCCGGCTGGAGGCTGGCGACGCGCGGCCGATCAACGTGGAGTGCGTGTGGTGGCGCGTCTGGGCTTCGGCATGGGTCAAGTCAGCCCCAGCCGCAGAATGGAGGAGACACAACATCCCCGAAGATGTGCTGGGTGGCGCCGGCTCCAAAGGCGCGGAGGAAGCAGCAGCGGACATCGCGGACAACCTCGCCCAGCAGGGGTATGCTGGCACGCTGGATTTTTTTGTTGTGTTATGATCACATACTTGTGAACTGCTGGAGCGAGCGGGGTGGCCCAGGATGATCGCTCGCCTATGCAAGGAAATGTGGACTGGCCAGCGCAGATGGGTCATCTGGAATGGCCACGTGAGCCCCCAAGCCCTGGTGGCAAGCGATGCCCTCCCACAAGGGGATCCTTTCGGACCGATGGCCCTCAACGTGTGGATGGGCGCAGGAACCCGCTGGGTGAGGCGGCAGGAAGAGGAGGCTGCCGCGGCGAGAGCGCAAGGCGCGGAGGCCGAGGAGGAAGAGGAGGAAGAGGAGGAGGAGGAAGAGGAGGAGGAGGAGGAGGAGAAGGAGGAAGAGGCAGAGGCAGAGGCAGAGCACGCTGAGGAGACAGCGGAGGCAGGGGAGGCCAGGCAGGCGACGCCGCAGCACGCTGGAGCGCCGGCGGGAGGAGGGCCGACGCCCGAACCACGACAGGCAGAGGAGGCAGCAGCAGCAACAGCTGCAGCAGCAGCAGCAGCAGCCGCAGCAGCAGCAGCAGCAGCAGCAGCAGCGGCAGCGGCAGCAGCAGCAGCGGCGGAGGCAGAGGAGGAGCACTGCGACGAGGCGCAGGCGGAGGAGACAGGGGCAGCACCGGGCACAGAGGGCCCGGCGGACGCCCAAGCGGAGGAGGCCGAGGAACCGAGGCAAGAGGAGGCAGCAGCGGGCGAGGGGCGCTCACAGGCCGCCAGGCCTGGACGACCGGGGAGGAGAGCACCAGGGAGGCGGGCAGACCGGACACCGAGGTCCACCATCTATATGGACCACAGGACGTGGTCCGCGACGACCGCCGTGGAGGTGGTGGGACGGGTGGCCATCTGGCACCGCTGGAGCGCGCGAGCGGGACTCCGCGAGAACCCGCGGAAGATCCAGCTCGTTGCTCGCGGGCGCGCGGAGGAGGCGGCGCTGCGGGCGCAGGCAGACAGGCAGGGGCTGGGGGACAAGGTGGTCCCGGCGATGGAGGCCCTCGGCGTCGTCACGGTGGGGGCGCAGGGCAGAGTCATGCACGTGAAGGATCAGGAGGAGCGCAGGCGGATGCCCCATGGGGTCCAAGCACATCATGAACATCCTCGAGGGCGGCACCCTTGCGGCGGATGTGGTGATCGGGTGCCGGCAGGTGGCCACGATGCGGCGACGGCTGCGGAGGCGAGACGATTCCCGCTGGTACACGAGTTGGTACCGCAAGCGAGGCACCTTGGTGGCGGAGGTGCGCTGCTGGCTGCGGAACATGGGCTGGCAGGAGGAGGCGAGCGCCTGGAACTGGTACCACCCGGGCACGGGGATGGAGCTGGACCTGCAGGAGCGTCCAGCTTGGGAAGAGGTGGAGAAGGATGTGCACGCCAGGCAGATGCACCAGGTGCGCGAGGGCTGGCGCTGGTGGAACTGGCAGCAATTCAAGCGCCAGAGGAGGAGGGATGTGGCCCCGCTGCAGGGCGTCGAATACGATGAGGCCCGCGTGAAGCTAGCCAGAGAGGCAGCGAGAGACGGAGCGGGGATGAGGATGCACGTGATGTGCGGGTCCTTCCTGTCGCCGCTGGCGGCGAAAGCAGCGGGAGGAGGGAAGTTTGACGAAGCATGCCACTGCGTGTGGCCTGGCTGCTACACAGACTTGCCAGACCAGGACCACATCATGTGGGGGTGCAGACACCGACCTCGCTGGGCCCCGGCC